AAAATAAAAAAAAACAACATTGAGGGAAAGAGCTGCATTCACCATCCTGAGCTATCTGCAAAAGAAAACCCAAATAAGCTCAATGACAACATCCCCATTAGCCCCAGGCAATAAAACAAACAAACAAACAAACAAACAAAAAAAAAGAAAATACAGCAGTAGCAGGGCGTTACATAAAGGTAAGCAGAAGAATCAAGGTTTAACACAAACTACAAACAAGATAAAATAAAGCCTACTGAAATTTTTAGCACAAAATGACACATTTGAAGAAAGGGTGAGTTGGTATGGTGCCTGGTGAAATTATCATGATAAATACATGACAGTTGGGGATGTTAATTTTTGTTAAGCACGCAAATAGCTAAGCACAGCAATCTAGAAATTAGGTTTCAGTTTTTCATAACAACTGCTAACCTAGTTTTGAAAATATCAATTACTGCTTTCTACTCTATAGCCGATTAATTAGAAATATTCACACCTTGAAAATGAAAAATCCTCACTATAGTGAAACAGTACAAGAAGTTTTATAATAATTTAACACTTACTTTGATGGTTTTGGTTCCTGTCCTCTAGGTGTTGAAAGGTCATTGCTAGGGTTGCTTGCAGCAACTGCACCTCTATGCAAGCGCATGCTTACTCTCCGCTCTTGAATTTCGCCTGTGGCACCTCGAAACCTGGGAGAGGCTGTGCCACAAACAAAATAAAGTAAGCATCTCCAGCTCTGTTCCACATAAATTAATTTGAAATTGATAGAGGAAGCGGATTCCTCACCTGTTGTAGGACTGGCAGTGGTTACAGGTGGGGTTGGTCCTGCATTGGTATTTACCATTTCAAAGTTTGACCTACCCCGTCCAGCAGTAGCTCCTGATGCTGCAGCTCCAGCAGGCGCAGTTCTTTGTTGTGTCCTCCGCTCTCGCTGCTCTTCAGAATTACCATGTCTTGAAGCACCCTGCACATGAAGGAGAAAAATAGTGAAACATAAACAAAATTGGAAAGCATGAAACACATACAGGTACATCAGAAATAATAAGGTAAATCTTACAAATTTGAGCAAGTTCCAATCAAATACATAGTCATAGGTGAAACCTTGGCGATGGAACAGAGTTCGGAAGAGTTGGCGAAGATAGGAATAATCTGGTCTTTCCTCAAACCGGAGTGCCCGGCAGTAATTTAAATATGAGGGAAATTCAACTACAGCAAAAGAAAACCAATTAGGATTTTGAATAAAATACATGTTGTAAAGGTGGACTTCCAAGACTATGCAACACCCTACCTGGAAACCCTTTGCAAAGTTCTTCAATAGATGTTGACATTTTCTTCTCACTAATTCTTTCATATTTTTGCCTCTTGGTGGCTGCTTTCAACCCTTGCCATGGGAGTGAACCTCTATTAAAGTACATGAGTACATAACCCAATGATTCCAAGTCATCTCTCCTACTTTGTTCTGCAATAAGAGGCCATACAAAATGAGCAATTTCCTTAACAACAAGAGCTTAAGGTAAGGCAAGACAGTTAAAACACATACCTATGCCAAGATGAGTGTTGATGCTGGCATATCTGGCGGTACCAGTAAGATTCTTATTTTCCCGGTAAAGAATGTGTTGATGTGTGCGGCCATCCCGGAATTTTTTGGCTAGACCAAAGTCTATAATATACACCATGTTCCCTTTTTTCCCCAAGCCCATCAAGAAATTATCAGGTTTGATGTCTCGATGAATGAAGTTACGACTATGTATGTAGTCTATCCGACTGATCTGTATAAAATTGAAGAAGAAAACATTAGATTTTTTCCACCTCTTTATCTACTTACACTATCTTACTGAAATGAGCAAACTTACAAGCTGGTCCGCTAGGAGGAGAACAGTCTTTAATGTGAAGCGTCGAGAACAGAAGTTAAATAGATCTTCCAGTGAAGGTCCTAGGAGCTCCATTACCATTACATTGTAGTCGCCTTCTGAGCCACACCATTTTATGATAGGGATTCCCACTGGAAAATTAGAAACTTATTACACAGTGATTCACTTAAAATTTGTTAAGCTTTACCAAAAACAATGTTTTAAGACACTAAATACAAACCATACTTTGTGCAAAGGGAAGAAGATAAAATATGAATGCAAGTTAAAGCTTAGATAAAGACATATTCTTTAACATTTATCATGAAACCAATGTTTTAAGCCTCTGATGAGTTGGGCTAACCAAATAAATAGTTATATCTGACTTTGAGTCATAATCCATTAAAAATATAAATGTTATTAGATAATAATGAATTGCACATTAAATACAAGCAGTAAGTATATTCAGATTAAGCGGAATAAGAGAAACTAAACTGAATGCAACTTATTCAATCAGTAATGAAAACAAACAGGTTGAAGGTGAAATGAACACTTAAAAGAGACTTGGTAAGCCAATGAACTATGTAGAACAAAGTGAAATGTTACTGTCTAAATTAACTAACTTGCTTCGCTACTTTCAGTAAAGCAGACCTGTTACAGGCCACCAAGGTAACATCGCATCAGCTGTACTACAACTTCTTTAGCTATCTCTCATAGACTTTGAGTTAACTGATCATATCCAAAACAGTCATACAAGACAAAGTGCAAGAACGAATTATATGGCAATTCTTAGCTTAAGGGAACCCTAACACTGAGTCTTTTAAGAATTCATAGACAAAGACCCCGAGTGGATTGGGACTTGTGTCAATCACCCCCTCCCCCCTCCTCCCCCACCAATGAACTTACCTGCTCCTTGCATCATTTTGTAGAACTTGGACTCTATATGAAGTTGTGGATGCCGTGTCTTGATGCATTCTAGTTTTATAGCTACTTCTTGACCTGTACAAATATTAGTGCCTGCAAAGTAAGTCAGTTTGGAATCGTCAAGGCTTTTATTTTGTTGACAATAGTAGGTTCAAACGCATCACAACAAGCGATATATTTACCCAAATAAATGTCACCGAAGGACCCACTTCCAATTTTCCGACCTAGCCTATACTTGTTTCCAACGCGGAGCTCCATTTCTGAAATTGGCCAAGAAACATTAGAGGACAATGGAAACATAAACACCTTGCGTTGGAGCAGCCATGTTAGAAGCAGTCTCGCAAAACCATCCAGGCACAAGCAGAAAGGCTGATATTCAAACACGGATTTCTTCTTTACCTGGGGCTCTGACGAAAAACTACAATCGCTGGGAGAAACTTCAAACTTCACTTTTTCCGCCACTTCATGAACAGAGAATGGAATTACACCATTTGCAAGGATTGCTGCGATATTTCATGTTGAGGATCAATTTAATTTTCAATGACACAGCCTGAGACACACCTAGTTCAGGTTTTCGCCGCAGCATACCCGTAGCAGCAGCACCGCCCGCACAAAACAACAAATGAGTAACGAAAACCTCTTTATGTAAAGTGGTGGGGGCACCGGCGCCGGGTCTCAAATTTCGGCCCCCGAAAACTTTTAGATCTCTAGTTGTGAATGTGAAGAGTTTCGGGAGAGCAATATGGCTACTGTGCCGTCGTTACCGCTTTATGTCGTGGTAGACTTGACTTTCCCAATCGATTCGGCCCTTGCTGAGACGTGTGTGATGGTAGGTCCGCTCGTTTATTTATTGTATTGCTCTATTCGTTTTCACCTTGCGCGTTATCTGTTTCAGGCCGTCGAAAATACTATTACTTTAGCTTGTTTTTTACGCGAGGAGGTAACGAATTTTGGCATAATCTGCATTGATGATGCAGTGCACAGTGTTTGTCGGCCCGTACTGACCGAAGGCAATAATGGTGTATCGTGGATTTATTCTACCATATACGAGGGGATTTCGAAACAAGTAGGCCCATACGTCTGAGAATCCTTACTGGACTTGGTGCGCGGTCACATAATATAGGTTAACCTGTTTTATCTGACTTCTATTTGTTTTCAGTTTAATAGCGGTATCCGAGTGGCACCTGCAGATTTTAAAGATTTGTTACTCCTCGCTGTTAGAAACGTAAAGTTACAATAAACTTACTGCAACAGAGGTACCAGTACCTACACTCGTCAAAAAACCTTTTTCTCTTCGAATTCAGGCCCTGGATGAACGACCCATTGCCTCGCTTACTGTTATATCTTGTCGAGAAGGACGACTAATAGCCGATTGGCTAGAGACACTGTCGAAAGACCAAGTATTGGCGGCGGACAGTTTTCAGGTAAATTTTGTTACATTAATACCCCCCAAAATACGCCAACCAACCCTATAGCATGGTACAAAATGCAATAATATGTTTCTATACTAAAACGTCAAGCCGACTATCGTCACAAAACTGATCGTTTCGACGTTTTTGCGACCTTTTGGTTCGACCACGACACCTTGAACGAAAACATTCTGTATACCTTAGCTGTGAGAAATTTATTTTATTCAAAGTCGAATCGACGTTCCATCGAGGTTTGACTTCTCACTGGAGGTCCTGACTTACTTATCTGGGCCGAGGGAATTTATTCAGTCCGCGCCAGAAGTGCAGCCCTACCCGAGCCTAGAGTCCTCGGTAGGACTCTACCCTCTCCTAAGCGGACTATATTTCTTTTGTCCTCCGGGTACGAGCCCCGAGGCATCCTCGGTCAAGACTTGTCAGGATCTCTAGGATATGGCGAGGTGGCGTTTTCCGTGCGTGGCCATCATGTGGCCACACTTTAGAAGGACGTTAGAAATCTCTATCTACGATGAACAAATTGTCAATTATGTGATGAATTGTCTTGTGGGAATAGGTGGTGGAACTGAGCCGGAACGAAGCCCAACATGCGTCTATCAGCGTTTGCCAGCCTCCTCGAGACGGTCGGCCTGCCGTCCGGCTGGCTGTGGTCCCCGTGGCCCCCGCCGGTGCAACGGCGCCGCGGGCAAGCTCCGGAGGCGGGAAGTCCCAACTCCAGGCCACACTCGAAGCGACACTCCGAGCCGCCTGGTTCACGCCGCGATGGAGCGAGATGATCTCGCTGCAGCTCGTCATGAGGTACGACACCTTCTGTAAGATGTATGGTGTTCACCGCCTACGACACGGCAGTGTTGCGGGTTTGCGCATGCCGCAGGGGCCATGGTGCCTTGTTGGTGGATCGAGTATAGGCAACCCCACATCCCCACATACTGACACACGGTAACTGCACCGCATGCAGGCATGCGGCTGGGGCTACCTATCGTCGCCCTCCATGGCACGTAATGGTGCCGAGCGAGTAGGCAACACGCCCACACGCACACGTTGGTGAGACGGAGTATCTCTAAACGGTGCAGGGCCTACGGGACATGGGACAGCCTGTATGGCATGTGAGACCAGTGACACATTGGGTGTGGAACTTCCCTGCGCATTCGAGGCTGCGACGAGTGACGACGTTCCGATCGTTCCTTTTTTTTCAGCCAGACCGTTGAACTCGAGTGCGTGGCGTCTCCGAGTGTGGCGGACCCGTCGAGCCTGCCCGTTGCGGACCTATTCTTGATCCCTGGAACAGCTGGGGGTGGGGGCGGCGTCCGCACCACCACCGGCGGCGGCGCCAAGGTGGTCCTGGAGGCCCTGTGTCGGGTGGCTGCCGACGGTGTCTGCGAGGGCAGCTTGTTCGGCGCGCCTCTGAGGGTGCTCTGGTCACCACCTTTCGCATTTCGAGGGAATGACCAGGAGTACCGACAAAATGCACACGTAAGTAGAGCGCGCACGCCACGGGAAGGGGAGTTGACCCACCTCGGCTCACCTTTTGATCCTGCGTTGTTCTAGATGTTTCTGGCTCTGTGCGAATCACTCGACGAAGCAGGCGAGTTCCTCGTGTTGAAACGGCTGGGTGGCAGCCAGGCGCTAGACTTGGGCGGCCACTTCATCGCCATGCCCGGTGAGCCCTCTTTATATCCATATTATAGTCAAGGGGTCATCCAGAATGTGCGTCTGCGGTTCGCCGTTACGAAACTGCCATAATGAGCCTGATAAGCTCCGATAGCGCCTGATGGGTAGGCAACGTATTGCACGCAGCGCTTGCGTGTGCAGCGGGATGGCCTACCCCGAGTCTCGCGGGCGCCCAGCTCCCGGCCGGGACGCGTACTTTCTGGACGATCCCGTTAGGGCTGGCCGGCTGATCATGTGTGGGTTCCCGATTAGGCGACGAGTGCCTGCTGGTGAGGGCTGTGGCCTCCGCCGAGCTAGTGCTGCCCGCGCCAGCGCCGCCGCCGCTGCAGTACGGTGGCTTGGAGGCGGCGAACGCTGGCCGAGAGGTGCGCGGCGCGCTGGACGGGCTGGCCGTGGTGGAGCAGTACACCGCCAAGCAATTCCCCAGCCATTTGTGCGCCGCACTCAAACTGGTAGGATGTTTTTGAAGAGTTTTGACGTGTACCTTTGTGCACAGCCTACCCTCTGTCCTTACACCCCGGTAATTGCAGACCACCAGCTTCCCCGAACGCTTGTCCCTGGGGTCGCTGGCCTGTCCTAGGCCTCAAGCCTGGTCGACTGGCGCAGCGCCCCGCGTAGCGCCCATCAACAAGTGTGTTGCCGCAGTAGCACCACCCGAACAGGATGCGGGACAAGCCCACCAGGGTAAGGCGGTCGGGGAAGCCCTGTCCTCCGACGAGGAGCTTGCCGAGGAGAACACGCGGCCCCTGATGACGGCCGCCCAGCCGCGGGCGAGGACTTCCATGGCGGTTCACGGAGCCCCCGCCCCCGCCCCGCACAAACTGGGGACGGGTGGGCATCCCGCTCTCGACACAGACAGCCGTACATCCGCCAAGCGCAAACGAGCCCCGTCTCTATTTAGAGTGTTTAAGTCGCGACGTCACTAGATAGCCGACAGAGCTAGGCGGTAGCGGGTAGGCAGACCCGCTCGGCATCAACTCCGGCCTCCCGCCAGAGAGCGCGGGGGAAAATGGAAGAGAAAAAAAAATAGAAGCTGAAATAAATGACTGGTAGAGCCATTGAGTTTTCAAAGGATAAATAATTGTAATACATCAGACAGTGTGGGGATGATTGTACATTTCCTTAAATATTAGAACTGTACAAAACTGAGGTTTTGCTATTTACACTGGTAATGTGCACAATATTTCATCAGGGAAAATCTTTTAATACCCAAGTGAATGTTTTCTCTTAGTATTACAGAAGTCACAGAGGTAGAATTAAGGTATTATGCACTATTATTGGCAGTGGCAGAATAATGCAAGTGTCTAAACGGACACAGTGTGCGCAAAACAGCTACCAAAAGAACACAGATATATCTTAACTGCCACACATAAGTGAAATTAATAATTCATTGGCAAGGCTAGACAATCTCAAAATTACTGATTTTCAATTGAGAATATCTTTGAGATGGGTACCACAAGGTACTTTGAAAACATATACACAATTAATTTGACAAGAGATAAGCCAAAACCATGATAAAAATCTCAATGCATCCTTAGGACATTATCACAATAATAATGTGCTTTGTAAACAGGTAAAAGCTATAAAAAAGGAAACATTTGGAAAAAATGTTTACAAGTAATAAAATTATCAAGAAATAAGCAAAATTTGTTGACATAGTACCACATTCCTCAAAACAGATGTCTTTCTAATGTTCGTCTACAGTACATATTGCGTCACACAGCATCATTCAGAAAAATGTCTTTCTTCAAATGGAAACCGAGGTAAAGATCAACACCATGTCAGTTATATGAGAGCAAGTCGTAAAAACACAATCATTAAACAGTTCAATTTTAAACCCACATGTCAAGAGTAATAAAACGTTTTGCAAATATAGAATTCATAGTAATTTTACAATTATCACATAAAAGGAAGGTTGAAGGTCATATTTCAACTCAAATGAGAGTTGTGTGTGTGTATGTGTGTGTGTGTCTGGACAATTCAGAAAAGGTGGTTCATGAACACATTTTACAATTTCAAGCAGAAACCCTACTACTTAAGAGATATAAAAATAAACACTTATCAAAAGACTTAGGGAAATAAGTATCAAAGTACTTTGGATACACACGTGCAGTTTTCAATTGACCCTTTCTATTTGTGGTTTAAAAGTTGGACGGTATAAGAAGATTTTGGAAAGTACAAAATTAGCATATAATTGGACATAAAAGCAAAACCTTATCATATGTAATATTGATAAGTAAGTAACCACTGCATGTGACGAATATTTGTCAAGACTATCAGAACTGTAATTTAAACAAGCAAGAGAGAGTGAGGAAGGCTAGGTGCGAAGTGTGATAAGGGCAGAAACTATTGTATAATACATGTATAGCTGAAAATCAAGTGAATTTCACTTCCCAAAGCAGCAGCTGCTTTGAATCATTTGAAGAAATAAACGTAACAAGTTGCTATTCCAGAGGACAACGATCATTCTGCTGTCACACCAAGGACAAGATAGACATTGTTTAACCATATCAGTCTGTTCCCAAACGTTTGTATATATCAACTACACACAGAGAGAAAAAGCTGTAAGTGAATAAAACTGAATTGAAGATACAACACAATGTTTTGAAATTGTGTTAAGATATGCAGCTCGGCTGTTACAAGACAAAACAGATGACATTATTAACTAGCATTAGCACAATAAGAAAGAAAGGAGTAAGAAAGGCATCTCAGTTAAAATTAATTTACTGAAAAGAATTTTTTTTTATTTTTTTTTTTTTGGTCAGATTATAGACCACAAAAACAAAAATTATTCTTGTTTTCATATAAAGAAAACAAATATCACACAATAAGTACTCTTTATGCTATTGTAAATGGTCCAGATAAAGAATAAAACATCACTAAATTGTAAATGCCTTCCTAAAACAATAGGTACTTCAGTTTCCCAAATTATATAATTTCCTGAGATGAGACAAACAGGAATTAAGGTACTCAAAACAGAGTTATCATTTGACAATAACCCTGAAAATTTGGTCGGTAAATTGAATTTTCTTTGTGTACTTCTATTAAGTGTTAATTCCCCACATAACTTACACAGCCATTTCACGCCAACATGCAACATAGTAAAAATTGAAAGCTATATAAAAATAATAATAAGAAAGCAGTAACAATATACAAACACAACAAAGTTATAAAATCAAAGAACTTGTAAAAGCAAACCTTTGACTGAATTATGACAAAGTTCACAGTTAATCATGCCTATTCATGTAGACCTCTTTATATAAAATTAAAAGCAGATAAATGCTGTTCTGTAGATAAAATAGCTTTAACTACCTATCATTCCAAATATTTTAACAATGTGATTTTTAAACAACGATAATCACCTTACACATTTTATTTTTAAACATGGAGCTAGACAAAAGGTCTAAAGATAATATAAAACTTTAGCACATAGTTGAATATCACCAAATACCTCTGAAAAGCTCAACCATTACATAGACACGACAACAAAATAATCACAGTTAAGTATCAGTTACAATATGAAAAATATACAGCTTGTAAATGCAACATTTCATGTCACAGCACAAGCAAGCTCACTGTGCTTGTTTCATGGGCTAAAGCTCATGACTTATATAACCATACCACAATGTTGCTTATTTGTTTTTTTTCTAAGAAAGAAAACAAAAGAAAATAAGAACATATGTCTAACAAAGCAAGAGCCTGGCAAGTTACATCCTCTACTTTTGTACTGTTAAATTTCTGGTGCATTGTACTTAGTGGTGCACTTGTGTTCTACTTTTCATTTTTGCGAGCTACAAAGTGACATTTGCCAGGCTCTTGTACACAACATGGTATGAAATAAGGGAAATATCATGACTAGTGGTAATCTACGTTCATTCCCTTAGCAAAAGTAAAAAAGTTAAAAAATTACCAACATTGTCTGTTTAAAGGCTCTTCAAACTAAGCATTTGAGGAGGACAGACATTTAACAGTCAATGCAATGCACATCTGTTGAGACAAGTGAAGTGGATGTCATTAGTTCTTCCAGCCACTTTGATTAACTAGATGAATTTCCAACTTCTCGTGTTAGTTGGCTGATTTCACATTCCAAATCTTCTGTGATAAAAGATGATGGTGCCCCTTCTAAGAGGCTGTCCATTCCCTGCTGAGCTGAGGTAGCTTCTGCCATGCTACTTAATTCAGTCAGAATAGGATCTGCAGAGCTAGTGACCCTTGGCTGCGTAACTGTTAATGTAAGCTGTTCTTCTGGACAAGATCCATCAGAACCAACTGCTTGGAGTCGGAAAGAACTAAATAATGGATCACCTCTTAGAGTTGTTTCAGGATCGGGCTTGTATTGTTCAGGAGTTTGTGGAAAGTCTTGTGTTGTCTGCTGAGCATCATTCTTTCCATCATCAAACATGTTGAGCATTTCATGTAAAATATCAGGATTAAAACTTTCTGTTGCCATGTTTGCTCCTTGAGAAGCATCACCCAGGTCTTCTCTCATTAACTCTAGGTCTTGCAAACCAGTAGACGAATGCATCCCTTCTGAATCAACACCAAAATCAGCAATTTCGCTTGGAACAGGGGTTGGAGCAACTGAACTTCCAGGAGTGAACTGATTAAAACTGAAAAAACCTTGTTGAGAAGGTGGGGGGCCATAGTGAGGCGATGGAAGAGCTGTTGCAGGCATGGGTGACACAGCAACTGAGTTGACCATTCGACGTAATGGTACTGATTGAGAGCGGAAAGATGACATACATGGCATTGATGAGAGATGTTGCTGCATCATAACATCATCTTCAGGAAATATTTCACTAACTTCTTGAGAATATTTGTCAGGGACATTCTGCATAAGGTGGTTACCCTGACAAGGAAGCAGTTCTGTTTGGTTCTTGAAATCAACAGTGGACAGCAAAAGATTAGAATTCTCCATGTCAAATGAATGAGCCCTGGTTTCCTTGCGAAAATTGAATGTACTCTTCTTCAGGGATTTGGAGCAGTGGACAACTGGAGATTGTGGAGCGGACATTGACACTTGGTACTGAGACCTTGGTAACTGCAGTGGTGAAAGTGCAGATGTAAGATTCTGGGATGGATTCCATGTTGAGGAATAAGCATTTGCTTGAGCATTGACAGTGTTATTACTCATTTCCTGTAATGAACTTATGTCGGGTTTTACATCAATGTTCATTTGGTTTGTGTCAACAGAATTTGATGCAATAAAAGATCTTTGATTAACAGCTTGGAAAGGGGATAGGGAGCAAGCTTCACTATTTACTGACATAGATCGCATCATTGTACGTGGTAGATTGCCCTTGTGAATTGGCTTTCCAGGATACATAGATGATGAAGCGGTTTGCATGAAGGTTGTTGAGGGCTGAGTGCTCATTCGCCGTGGTATTGGAGTATTTCGAGGAGAAACAAAGGGGCTAGCATTTGCACTGCTAGACTTTGTTGGGGAATAAGGTCTTGGAGAGATTGGAGTAAAGCTGAATCTTTGTTTGGTGTTTGGGCTTGGAGGAACACTATTCGCCGCAGAATCTGGATCACCGGGCACTTCAAAGCTTACTCGACGAGCATTATTTTGTTGACAAGTCAATAAAGCTGGAAGAATGAGACTTTGTTTTTGTTGGCTACGCTGAGACAAGAGAGACAAACTTGCTGCAGCAGACAATCCGTTCGGATACTGGGGTCCTTTTCCAGCCATGTCCTGATTCATATTTTTCTCCAAGAGGCGACGTAGTTGAGATATTTTGTCCATGCTGTTGGTGGGGTCTACCTGCATTGATGGGCTCTGATTTTGTGGCGCTTGTGGAGGAAAGTACTGCATCAACTCCTCTTCTTGTTCCTGTGAGTTACTACCACCATGCAAATAATCATCTAAGGCATCTTTTTCTAGGCATCCAATGATGGCATCATTACCACTTTTCTGAGATGACACCAATTTTAACATTCCATTATGGTCTGAGCTTGGCAACTGCTTTGAAGTATCCCCATCACTTTTAATTACAGAGCTATCTTCTGCATGAGGTTTGGGCTTTATTGGTTTGTATTTCTGTTTTTGGACAGACTGATGCTGTAATGATGATTGTTGATTACGTGTTAAAGACGGCGAAGTAAATGGCATATTCATATAATTTGGCACATTTTGCTTGCAATTTGGTTTTGGCAAGCGAGGAATTGGAAGCTTGCCGTCTGGTCCTCCTTCTGGTCGCTGTGTAGGTGCATAAGTATCAACCCCCACATGGGTGTTGATTGTTGATGAGGCATCTGAGGCATCAGGAACCAACGATTCAGAAAACAAAGAATTAAGAGGGAGAGCATGTGTGTCTAAAGCACTTCCATTACTGAGCAAGGTATTATTATTTTGGACATCAGCTTGCCCATTCTTTGTACTCATATATGGCACTGTGGAATGGGACTGACTGCCCATAGAGTTATCACAATTAGAGTTGGTTGTTGGACCAACCAATTTGTTCGCAACAGACCTGCGCACACCAGAGGAATTTTCTTGAGGAGAAGAAGATGAACGATGTTTTGTGCGTTTACCACGCATTTTACTTTCACAATTCTTGGAGCGCATACGTTCAACATCTTCTTGTATTTTACGTTTATGATCCCTTTCAATAGAAGAGCGCGGTGTCTCACTGGCTGGTCGAGAGAGTCCAAGACTGCAACTGGATGGTGGTCTTCCTTCGCTTCCTAAGGCTGCACAAGGGAATAAAAATTAATTAATATACAATAAAGGATGTTAGGTAACAATCAAATAGAAAGAAAAAAAAATCATTTACAGGCTGCAGAGGAAGTTGGCCGACTGTGTCCAGCAGATCGGGGAACAGGAGGATTCAAAGCAGATAAGACAGTCAGAGCTGCTGTAGTTTGCACATTAACCGACATACTTTGGACAAGATGACAAGCCAAGTCCTGCAGACTGGAAAACCGCAAGCCTAATGTTTTTCCAGCCCATTCTCGGATCAACACTGACACGGCCACTAACAAGGTGCGCTCAGGAGAACCTGCTTTCCCTCCATTGCTGTCTTCTAAAGCACTCTGTAGCAGTCATGATGAATAGCATTAGAAACGGAATAACATACGTTAATGAAGAGTTCGAAAGCATAGGCAGATCTTACCTTCTCACTTGGACCAAGATCAGGAAGGATTGGAGGAGCAAGGTGCATTCTTTTGCGTAAGCCAGCATAACAGTATCGGGAATGTCCTCGAGTACCCAACCTCCTAGGCCTGACATTAGGATAAACCTGTTTCATGACTTTACCAAAATCTGCAGTTGAGAGAGGTTTCACAGAATTCCCTTGACAAAATTCCCTGAAGCAAAAGAAACAAAAAGTTATTTTTCTTCTTTTGATGAATTATGCACAGTAAAAGACTGTGAGAAATGTTATTACAAGTATTGTTCATAAACATCTTGCTTAGGAAGAGATACTTCAGGATCTTCTTGTAAATGAGTCTTAATCCAAGTTATTGTGTGATGAATTTCTAATCTACTGCCAAGAGGATTCAAGTTTCTGGAAAAGAGTCCACAGTTGATGACAAATGTCGTGCAAGTAGCATATAATGAAAGCAAAACATCACACAATATTTACTTACTGTCGCAAAGGATCCACAGAACTCCTACCATTTGGAAGTTTCAGATATAATAAAAGCTTTTCAATTGGAGACAACTGCCGAATTTGAGCCAACAGACATTCAATGGTATGTTTTGACTCCATGCTAGAAGCACAATGACAGGAATGCAAAGTTTAAATAAGGTTTTAAACAATGAGCAGTCTCAAACAATAACATCTTATGTGATATTCATTTGAAACATTTCAAAAGTGGTATAGCAGCATGAATGACTTATTAATACTTTTATTTAAAAACTACAAGAAACAAGACGAGAAATTTCAGGGACATTTTAAACAGCATCAAGTACACTTCCTTAAGGATCACTCTTTTGTTCACAAAATTTGGATGAGACTACACGAAAAAAAAAAAAGAGATCTTTTAAATATCCCTGGTAATGAAACCAGCCAGCATTTAGTGCCTTTAACACTTTGCATCAAATTGAGCACAAAAAGAAGACATATGCTCATGCAAAGATAACTGGAATGATGAAGGCAGACACTCCATATGCATATGGAAATGTGAATGCTAAATGTGATCAGTGCACAGGATGGCCTTGACAAAATTGATCATATGTTAAAATTAACGATAGGGTATGATAGAACCGAAAAAGAACAAGAAAATCAAAATAAATTGTAAGATAGTAAAGAGTAACAACGACTGTAAGATTCTTTCTTACCTAATTGATTTTTCTACAGTATCTTGAATCATGGTCGTTCTGTCACTTTCGTCAAGATCCCGGAGATTGAGAAGTTGCCGATCGCTGCTGATAGAGGAATTATCCATTTCACACTTTATGTTTGGAGCTTCAGGATAATCTGAAGCTGCTGTTAGACCACCTAAAGTAGACACTTTTCTATCTAAACTTTCCATTATGTTACTGTTAGACATTTCTTAAAATTTGGAATCTCCCGAAGATCTGTACGATCCCCACCATTTTCTCATACAAATCAGCTGGGCCCGAGACAATGCTTACAATGTGACAACGCTTCACTTGTATATGGATGTCTTTTATGTCAAAGAAATGCATTTGTTTAGTTATATTAGTTTGTAAAGTAAGGTATCTTTCAACGGATGAAATTAACTCTGCTGCAACAAACGACGTTGGGGATACACTACGAGAGATAACAGGACGTCGACAAAGTTCTACGTTGGCAATGATGTCCAGGGAGCTGAAAATCTGGCAACAGTGGGACAGGGTGTGTTCGGTTTATAAGATATAAAATTCTATCTTCAAGATAAAGTAATGGAAAATATTCTCCCGGGAAAGGCTTTTTCCATAATACCTTAATCATACTGACTGGTTACAAACCAGTACTATTGTCCTAAAGCTCTGTTGCTTTTGGCTTTCTCACACGTCACGTGTCGTCTGCATTGCCTGCAAATAATGATATTTACCTATATTTACCAGATATTCAAACCTGCTACTGCTAACGCCACGCTTTTTATAAAGGTTAGGCCGGTCTTAGCAAGTTTGTTTGTTATCAAAAGAAAGGAACTTTGCAAGCTGCAAGATGGGTCGGTCGGGAGCATCGCAGAGGCAAAAGAAAGCAGAGAAAGCGAAAGTGAAACTTAAAGGACACGCTACAAAATTCCTGCCTAAGGGGAAAAATGTAACAAACACCACCTTCAAAGTCCGAAAGATAGTTCTCCAGGAGCAGCTAAAAACACCAGATGGTAGTCAACCACTGTCAAGGAGGAAGTTAAATGTCAAGGTGCACTGAAACTTATCTTAAATTTTTCTGTAGTGTAGCTTTCTCACCCTTATAATTTGCCTGTACTAAACGTGTTTTGCTCACCATTTCTGCGCTAGGAAGTTCTCTCAAGATTACAGCATTACAGTTCCTCACAACGTCAGGAAGGGCTAGTTGGACTCAGTGAGCTGCTTAATCAGATGGACATGGGCCAGTTGACATCACACTTGTTCAGCATTATGGACAGTTTGGCAAGACTTTCTCTTGACCCCGAATCCTCAGTGAGAAAACAAAGTGCTCATATCCTGACATCAGTATTTTCGTTGGTATGTTTGCTCTTTAATTCTACTTTTTCATTAGAATCATTAAACTTGAATCAAGAGGGTATCACTAGAATATCAAGCAAAGCACACAAGTAAGCTTCTATTAAATTTGTAGGTGAATGAAGCTCAACTAATGCCATTCTGTCAAGTCCTTGGATCTTATCTCAGTTGTGCAATGACACACATTCAACTAAAGGTTCAGGAGGATTCTTTGCTGCTCTTTGATGCAATTTTGGAACATGCACCAGCTTTAGCAGCTGCCTCTGCAAACCAATTACTACCATGTGTCTTAGACATGATATCACGATCAAGGCAAGAATTTTATGTCATGTGTTCTTTTACCTTTCTTTTCTTTTAATTTTGAGGAACGTTCAAGGAATATTGTGTATTTTGATCCTCATGTTCACTTTGATATTTGTAGAAGTGATCATCAATCTGGTCGACAGCTATCCGTTCAGCTGTCAAGCAACATCACATCATCAATTTGGAGAGCCAAAGTATTTGGTCGTCTCCAAGCACTCCTCATTGTGTCACTGAAAAAGTGCACGGATAATGGTACAGACTATTACGCTGACTTCAAGTATGTCAAGTCCTATCATTTATCCTCTCCACTCACATCCACCCATTTATTTAATATTTCAGGATCTCCGACTCGCAATCTTTGTTATTCTGCTCACCACTCATCAGTTCCAGTAAGTAAAGATTGCTTGAAGGAGCTGAAGTTTCCTTTGTATAACAGTAACTATGCCACACCTTTGTGCTTGAGTACAGTTTTTCACAAGTAAGTGTGTACCAGACCTCAACTCTTTAGACATCTTACCTCCTACTCCGCCGCTTCCCTATAAAACTCATTTCTATTATGGTTGTGACCTTACAGATTAAACAGGAACACAAAACAACTTATAGATGAGCCATCACAATTTAAAACGTTTGTGGAATCCTTAATGCCTCTTATGTTTGATTCCTGGTTGGAAGTTAACCCCTCAACACTGAAGAAATCCAAGGGAGCTGAAGGTAATTTTTCATGTGTCTATACTGCAAAGCACTTTTAAAATTGATGAGAAGGGAATTTTAAGCACAATTTATTTCAGATAATGGACTTCAGCTAGAATCAGCTCTCACATTGCATTGTGTTTTGGAAATAATTAATTTGCTGTGGGAGCATCTTGTCTCAAGGGGGAAAGCAAATTCAAGGACTGACTTGGTATGTTTGTCTTTAAGTTTAATTTCAGGCAATAAAACAACAATTGTTCTTTTTAAAAATCTATTTTACGCTCTATTTCTTTAGACAGAATGGTTTAAGGTAACATATGTGAAAGATTTCCACAAATATCTTGGAACAGGATTCCCATATGAAGCTAGGCTTATTATTGAAGAAGAGAGCAAAGATACGAGTCAAGGCCATGGAAGACGGCGGTCAAAACCTGAAAAAACAGCCACCCCTGATGCTTCTTTATTTAAGTTGGCTTCACCCTTCTTTCTTAAAGATAAGGATGAAAAATCATGTAATAAAGCAATAGGTAAATGTATCTTACAAAATCTGATACTTTGTCACCTGCTGGCAAATATGATAGAATCTCCGACAGCTGCTGTCAAAGGAAAGCTCTTAGGGATTCTTATTAGTAAGTTTTCTATCTTTTATACTGTAATGTGCTATCTATTTAAAATCAACCTTTTTTTTTATCTCACTGCTTCTTTTCAGCATACCTAAATCAGTGGGATGGTAGCTTGTCCCCATGGTCAGATCATCTCCTTAGGGCTTTGAGAAGTGTCTTTGAAAAGAGCCGTTTGTGGGGATGTGATCTGGACCCACTGTTGGCTGCTGTTGTGCAGAGGTACCACCGCTCATCTGCCAAGCAAACTGCCGCTCATCAGCTTTTAGCCTCCGAATTGTGTGATTTACTAGGGGAGATTCCTGTGCTTGAAAATTTACAACACCTCCAGAAGTATGGCTGATATAAATGCAAGATACATCAATTCACTGCATTTCTTTCCTAACTATGAATGATTTTCACTCCATTTCAGATGTGAGAGCCTTAGTTCCTGGGTTTCTCTACTTCCTTCTTCATTAAGCAGTGGAAATATATCATTAAACAAGCTTTGTTTGTTTAACAAACTGGCCTGTCAAAACAATGCAGCATTCCTGAATGGCCTCCAAAATTCTTTTCCTTCTCTTTTAGGTATGTCAATGTTGCTCAAGAAAATTCAAACTTGAATACTTTTTGTACCTAAAAATCTAATCTATTATTTCCAATGTTTGCATTTTAGCTGCTGTTGTTAATTTTGAAACATCTGAAGGAGAAAACAGACTTGAAAAAGAAGCAGGACTTGCCAGCCTGTTTTATTGGTTTCCTTTTTGGACCGATACTCAGTTGTTATCATTGGAAGAGGTCCTGACTGAAAATCAGTCTTCCCTGGCTAAAAAAATAGCCAACATTTTATTAATCAGGTAAGCTTTCTCAAATTGGCCTTCAATATACTCTAATTTTTCTTTGCCATAATACTAATAAGATGTCATTCTCATTCCAGGAGTGATAAGTTTGAAATATTTAGACAAGCATAGTAACATGTAACACAGTTATATAGATGCAAATACGGTAGATCACTATCTGACATGATCATTGTGAAGAATAATCAATTTTATAATGAGTCGTAATAAAGAATAAATTAACAGAATTTTTTATTGGGATATAAAAGGATACACTTCTTTTTTTAAAGATCTGAACCCTCATCAGCTTTTAGATACAACTATACTAGGGTCAAATCTACAATAATTTGTGATCTATCACAGCAGCAGGTTATTGTGTTATGTAATAAATATTGAATTAAATTTTGACTTTATGATTAGCAGGTTGTTATGTAATAATTATCTAATAAAATTTTGACTTTATGATATCAAAGGAAGTACAAACATTTCATTGCATACTTCACAAACATACTAAATAAAACTGATAGAGACGTGACAGATGATTATCGTCTCTCGTCATTCCGAACCCCAAGGGAAGCACCGGTAGCAGGGGTCGGTCATTGATACGACGTCTTGTCTCGAGGACAAACCGTATATCTTCCTATCTTCCCGGTCGCGACTAGTAACAGTACTGCACGATAAGAGAGAGAGAGAGAACGTCTCAGTTTTATGGCCTCTTCCTGAAGTCAGCCAGCTGCACAATAAGAGCAATCTTGAGAAAATACAGGAGTCCTCTTCGAAACGTTCGAAACCTCCCGCTGCTTCCTATCGCAGGGTTTATGACCGGTGGTCGGAACGTGATTGGAACGGATCCAACACCCCGGCAAATTTCTTCTCTAATCGTGCAGGATTATGGGTCGATCATGGCGGATTGCATCTGTTCGTCTCTCTAAGTTTCAGTTTATTTTAATCTCCTCGTAAACTGTGCAATTTCGAACTTGTAATCGTGTATCTGTATTAAACGAAAAGTTTAGGCTTCACAAATGCTGAAACAGTTGCAAATGGGCCTTCGTGCGTTTTTATTACTCGCTTCACGAGTGTGGACCTGTGTTTGTTATGTGCTTAAGAAGCAGGTTAGAGCAGTGAGTACCCCACACAAAGTCATTACCCATTTAAAGTTCCGTCAAGGCGTCGTTTTTTCTGCCTTAATTTCTCCTATCACATTGGAAGTGAGGTCTTGGTCCTATCCCGTAAAATTTGCATTTCATGTGGTGGAGATGACAATCAACCAGTCGTAGTACGTTTGGTGATAGGCCCTGTTATTAATACAACACAAATAAATGTCCTATTTCGCTTCTCACGTAGTTCTGCGTCAAGCGAGTCGATTTATCGCCACTCCTCTTTCTGCAATATTCTAAATAACTTGGCTTACTCTCTGGATTTCTTCAACCATAACCTTTGTTTTTGTCAATCTGTTAGATGTATGTCTAAATACAACATACTGTCATTACTTTTCAATTTACTATCTTCAAATTCTGTGTACTATTGATAATCAGGAAGTATTACTCTTTTTGTGACAACTGTGCCTGATTGTGATATGGACTTGCTAAACTATATCATCACAACTCTAAAAACCAACTTAATCTTTCGACCTCTATGAGAATTCCCCCTTTCTTGTAGAAGCTTGTCTATATTTATTCACTTCCAATAAGTGCTGTAGTTCATATGTACTCAGTTCTTTTCAACATCCTTTGACAAAGTTTCTGGGTGAAGGGCAATTTCCTCACAATCAAATTATTTATGCATCACTAACATGTGCCATTATACTATTAATTAATTTATTTTGATGTCTTGCAGTTTGTTCAACATCAACCAGTCAAATATGAAATATATCCCTTGTCACCATTATCAAGACACAGGCTAAGTAAGATTTACCTTCATTTTGTGCCATATTTTAAACATCCTTTCAAAAGTCGGTTCTGTAGGCTGACACTGAAATCTATTTGTGTTTTTACAGATATTGTAAAGCGCAAAGTTCTTGTTCTGGATCTGGATGAGACACTTATTCATTCTCATCATGATGGAGTTGTGAGACAGACAGTCAAACCAGGCACTCCTCCAGATTTTGTGCTGAAGGTCACTATTGACAGACACCCTGTCAGATTCTTTGTTCACAAACGGCCTCATGTTGATTTTTTCCTTGATATAGTAAGCAACTGCTGTCATTATTTCTGAGGTACTCATTATAATATATCCTATACCAGAAGCACTAGAATTTATATCCACAATTTGTTTCCTCAGGTATCTCAGTGGTATGAATTGGTGGTATTTACTGCAAGCATGGAAATATACGGAGCAGCTGTAGCAGATAAACTTGATAACAGACGTGGAATTTTAAGGAGACGCTTCTATCGGCAACACTGCACTTTAGACTGTGGCTCTTATACAAAAGATCTTTCAGTCATTCTGGATGATCTATCCTCTGTATTTATTTTAGACAATTCTCCTGGAGCCTATCGAGCCTTTCCAGGTAATAATTTATAACATACTTTTTAAAGTGAATTTATTTTTCTTGAAATTGTTAGTTTAATGTATCTCTTTTCTGCACATTTCTTTTTCTTCTAGATAATGCGATTCCTATCAAATCATGGTTCTCTGATCCTATGGATACAGCATTGCTCAATCTTCTCCCTGTGCTTGATGCGCTAAGATTTACTCAGGATGTAAGGTCAGTGTTGTCTCGAAACCTTCATCTTCATCGTGTTTGGTAGTAAGATATAAGTTTTTTCATTATTTATTTCTGGAAATTGCTCTGCTTTTTAACATATTTGGTCATGATTTAGTTCGGAAGGGAATTTTTTAATTGCCACCATGTGTCGGCCATAGTTGAGTGGGATGCGTATTTGTATGAGCAAGTTTGAGTATTGTATGTATGTATGTATGAATGACTGTGTATGTTTTCATGCAAATGCATCTGTACATGTTTATGTGTGAGTGAGTTTTGGGAGGGGTGGTGGGGAAGTAAATGACAAGATTATCAAGAGAGTGAACAATAAAAGCAGGTGCAATAAATTTTTATCAAAGACAGGAGCGCTAATTACTGGACATAGATGGAAGTTTTCAGGGAACAATTCCTTGTTAATCATTTTGGCTTGGATTGCTACACAGCAGTTCAGTTATGTCATCCAATGTTTTGGGATTGAGAAACCGCATTCAGTCTTTTCTTGGTAAACTTGTACATTTGAGGGCTAATTGTACATTTGACATGATGGGTAGGAAGAGCTTTACCTAATTCTAAAGCTGTGAAAGTACAATTGATTCATCAGTCTTTTTAAGACCCGTACACTTGACCCTTGGGCTCGATTTTTAAATATATATATATATATGTATGTAGCTAAGATATTAAGCATTTCATTATCATCCCATTAAATCTTAAGTATCATTTCAGCTGCTATGAATTCCTTGACGACTGCCAGAAGGAGATCTTATGGCACAAAAGATGTTGACAATATTGCAATGGTTCAAGCACTTCTCTTTTTTTTCATTCATATACCTATTACCTCTAAGTACATAGGCTCTTTATCATATATTACTTATGAGTATTTTAAGTCTGAACACTTATGTCAAGTTTGTTGTTGATGCATTCACAAGTCATCTTCCTTGAGGCATCACTTCTATGAGACTCTTGTCTCTGTTCTCTCCCTCCTTTGTTATGACTGTAAATAAGAAACTATTAGATTTGACTTGGACAAAAAATTAGTGAATTGTACCTTCCTGTAAAGTTCGAATCCTGGACTACCCACACCCAGTGACTCCGTAATTTCTCTCATAATGTATTTTGTTGAGTTTCACCTTTGTGTTCCGAGGACTTAGGTTTATGTTTAATAATATGGTGGTTGTGTTCTACTGTTTATTTTAAAAAAAGAAAAATAATGAGAGGGTTTGAGATTTTACACAGACTCCTGTAAAACATAAAAGTGTTCCCTCTAGCTGATAAAGCAAACTTTCTCAGACAATATCGGAACAAAATGTGGTGAAATTTTAATTTTATATCTTATATAACTGCTGGTATCTAGCCATTTTTGTGTACCTGGAATTCATACATGTGAAAAATACTTCTATGCTGTACTACTTGTTTGAACTGTGGAAACTTTTTTTCTAAATTACCTCAGTTTCTGTTAGTGCAAAGCAGTATTTCTGTACACTTAAAAGATCCAAGTCCAAAGTTGAAAGCTCATCCTCCACTATGCAGGATGTTTTTCCTATCTTTCTTTATTTTGTTGTGTTGCTTAGCTTCCAGTCCTCAGATGTCTGTAATATTCATACAGAATTTAAAAGTTGTTTTCCTAGATGGTGCGACTGTCAAGAATTATGAGTCAAAAATAGAGGTAATGTGGAACAAACCTCTTATTTTGGTCTAGTTCACTACTGTATATTTTAATACCTAAGAAATTTGATTACTCCCTGGTTACTAGTCGACAGTGTCCATTGTTTACACTTTAATATCTTGTATATCTGTTATATTCTGCTGTTTACTTAAAATTGAGAGAATCAACTGGCCTGTGATATAATTAAAACAGGAAAGTGCTCTCCTTGTTCTCATGTGTAGTATCAAATATTTCTATCAAGTATCACAAGTAAAATGTCTCATTCTGTGGCCATTGTCATCCTTAACTTTCCTGTCATTGATCCTTTTGGACCGAATCTTTTCATTTAGCAAGAAGTAATGTTCTCATTTTTGTGTGTTAGTGTTTGAGTGTTCGATACTTGTGAAGTGTGAATGTGACTGAGAATGAAAGGGTGAATGAATGTATGTACTTGTGCAAATGTGATGTGCAATTGAATGTTTACTTCAGACCTTACCATCTTTGTAACTATCATTATTTTGTGATGACTATTTTTATGGCCATGATTGTTAAGGTTTTGTTGTATTTTGTTTGTATATCTGTTAAAGCTTAGTGCTGTGATGAGGCGGGATATTTTTTTAACAAGATCTCACCACTTAGCTGGAAATCAGTTGCTATTTTCAGCAGAAAAGTGATTAGTTTTTCTATTTTGTTTCAATGTCTTCTTGCATATGTGGGTTCACTTTTCAATATTAATTGATCATTAGTCAAACAAAGCAAAGAGAAAATTGTACAGTGTTGTTTTTTCTTTCTTAACTGAGATTTGAAACAAATCACACTGTGGATGAAACAAATTGATGTGATTGTTTAATGGGGCTGTTCTGTTATGTTTTTTCTATAAAGTGTATCATTTGTCAAGCTAGATTTCTAAATATTATATTCAGCTGTCTATGTAAACCCACATATGCAGTAACGTGTTTTTGGTGATGTTTTATTGCTGTTTCATTGCAGTTTTCTTTTTGAATACATTTTAAACACAAAAATGAAATTGAATTACGATCATTAGATGATGATGGCTTGATCAGACTATAGCGCTTTCTTCCTTTTACCAACTAAATTTTTACAGCACCACCTTTGAATCTTGTGGGTGAAAGGCTTGTTATCACCTGGTGTGTGTGTGTGTGGGAAGCAGGTGTGGATTCTGAAGTGGATGGACCTTCCAGTTTTGTATTGGTTTCAACTTTCTTTTATTGTCAATGCAGAGATTATTGCATAAATTTTCTCATTCATCAAGGAATGGGTATTGTCAAACATGTGCTTCTTGCTGGCTACAATGAATTTTTCAAAAAAATAGTTCTAACATATATTTTTGTTAGTTTGGTCTCTGTGCGTAATTATGTAAACATTTCTATGTGTTCTTTCGTGTGCTTCCATCATTTTTTATCTGGTCAAATTTGGTAGTTTGTTTGTCCCAGTTCATGAAGCTCACTTTCCCCTGAGCTTGCTCAATTACCAATCTCTGCAAACCTCAGCAGAAATAATGTCTTCTTGGTATTTTAAAAATATACCCCTCAATGTAAGGTAAACCTCTTGTTTTCTATGAGGCATCTTTCCCTTTTAATTTGTGTGTGATCAGTAGAACTCAGAGTTCAGATCTGTGATTTCGTCCATTCTGTTCAATTTTTGTTTGTTCTTTGCCTTTTCCTTGGTAATACCATGACAAGTTTGGTTTTGAGTGCTCAAATAAATTCATTGTTGGCAAAAAAAAAGTAAGTTTTTAAAATTTTAGTGTAAATTGCTTCCCAAAACACAGCATTCTCATTCTTAAGGATTCTGACTTGTCATGTGTTCCAGTTTTTTTGTTGTGCCAATTACTTAACTGCAGAACTGCTTAAAACCTGTAATTTTTCCTTTGACTGAGCTGGTTAATCCTCTCTATAATACCCAACCTTCCAAATCCTGGCGAAGAATTTTGACTAGTAGTACCATTTGTAAATTGTGCTCTTAAACACATAATATAAATGTATGACTTAAAATGAACAGGGGAAAATGGTCTTTGTCCTCTTGTGGCTTGCCTCACATGAGTTGTGTTCAGATTTACTGTCAATTTTCTATTATGTAAGAGTTAAGGTTTAAAGTGATGTATGGGTGTTTGAATCCCAACCCAGTACCTGCTTTATTGCCCAAACCACAGAGGTAAATGACGTTATAATAGAATGCAAGTATATTGTCTTGTTTTTGTGTTAAAAAAGAATGATTTACTATAATTTAACCATTCTTTCAAATCAAGAATAGCAGTTTGAAAAAAGGTCTCAGGTTTCAGCACAGACCTATCCAAAGCCTATCTAAGAAAGCACATGTTGGGCAAATAGTAAGGATTAAGTTTAAAAAAATAAAGTACCTGTTGTGAAAACCATGCTAATGAGAGATCATTTAGGCACAAGGATTTCTCTTAAGTATGACTTTGAAGTTCTGGAACGGGAAATCTAAACAGCCAACTGAAGTACAGTATTTGAAAATCTCAAGTCTGTCATTGTATTGATGTTCCTAAATAAATTGAAAACAAATGTGGTTCATTTGATTTATTGTAAGTTGTGTGTCATTGTCTTTCAAAAAGTCAAACAAACCGAAGTAGTAACCAAATGACACATTACAGAGCTTGCAACTAGTTGTTAATTGATGCTACTTCAAACAATTCCTTTCAATTAAACCACACCAATCCCTTCACCCCAAAAGTATCAGTAAAGGGTCAAACATAATGTAAATATATTTTGGAATGATCTTTGCAGAAGTGCACTGCCCCATAGCGCAAGTGGCAGAGACCCACTGCATCAATGATGTCACTTGACTTATTCTTAAGCATACTGTTGTAAACAAAATATTGAGACAATCAATCAAATAATGGAATTAAACAGGATACTCATAGTAAAAAAAATTATGTTCATAAAACTACATTTAAAAATCATGGAATTTGATCCCTTATAAATTAACAGTCTAAGCTTGTGAGGTCTAAGGAAATCAAATCACAAGAATGTGATACACCAAAACCTTGATTAAAAATCCACATTGACTAGAGAACAAGCAGCACCTCTTAACAAAATGTACACACAGTGTGGCAAAGAAATTGAAAAAGGAGAATGACAGTCAATGTCTACTACATAATACAGATCAGTCTCTCAAAAAATTATAGAAAAATGCAAAAGATACAGTTGTTGAAGATGGCTGAAAACAGGGCAAATTTAGCACCAACAATAGACAGTACAAACAGATTCATGTCTATTTTTCTCAATTCACAAACCTTACAATTTAAAAAAACAACAATGATTGTTCAGTAGATTTTACTGAGAAACCTCAGAATTATGCCCATTTGTTATGTTGTCAACTGAATCATTTAAAATTCTACTGGAAGGGTTGCCATTAGTCTCATGTTTAGAGGGAGAATCAGTTGACGTGGTGAAGTCTACTGAAGATTGGTCTGGATTATTATTGTGCAATACTTTATCGCCACTACCCTCCTCCTCGTCTTTCTGATCATTTTGCTGATCTGAACTCATCTGCCAGATCGGGATGGATGGCTTTGAGTTCTGATTTGATCGTAAAGAAGACGTATTTGGTGCTCTTGGAAATTGTTGTCTGAAAACAAGGTTTAGGGATAAGCAAGCAATTAAATACAGAGAAAAACTGAATTAGTTTTTTCAAATGTTAGTAAAATTTAGCACCTGTTAAGAAGAAGACCTTTTACTGTAGCAATATCTGATTTAATATCTGACAAACTTCTTGTTGCTCCTGATTCACGTTCTTGAGAAATACGACTCAGCTCAGATCGAATTTCAGCTTTGAGTTCAGTAGTGCATCTACTGACATTGCTGACAGCATCTTCTATTGCAGCCAAGCTCTCCTCTGTAGACTTTTTAGGTTTGGGACGACCAAAGAGAAAAGGTTCTATGTACGCCTGTGGATAGAAAATAAAAACTGATTACCTCAAAAGTCAAAATAATCATTTCATTGTCTTTCTGATTTCTCTTTTAAATTGAGGAAAACCTTGAGTTAGACAAAATCAACTACCTTGTACACCCAATATAAAACGTAGCCAAGACCCCCTAAGAGTGCAAAAGTGTGCAGGACATCCCTTACACGAATCCAGAGACTCGTTGGCTGAGGAGCTACAGTATGTTGTGGCAAGCCATACATCGGAATCATAGCATCCTAATAACAGCAGAAAAAAGACAGCAATTTCAAAACACATCCCACGACTCTTGCGCTCAGACAAAATTAAAAAGGCAATTTCTGACAAACCTGGCGTGGCTCTGAAGTGTGGACATTGGCGCGTTCGCATGCAATGTTTATTTCCTCATTAGTCATACCTTTACTTTTCAAGAAAGATTGTTTTTGTTGGAAAGGGCGATCAACAACATTAGGATTGGTAAGAAAGCGGACCGCTGTATCAATCTAACAACAAACAAAAACGATTGTTCCACCTTTGATACTTGACTCTTAAAAAAAGATCAAATTAGATAATAAAAAAAATATGAGAGTATATTAAAAATGAGCGTTACGAATAGACGATACACTTTCTTACCAAACCCTCTCGAGGTACACAGCTAACTGTGGGTATGTCTGAAGAAGTTGACGACATTCTTGAGCAAACTAGAATGAGAGTTTCTTTTCAAAAACAAAACTACACCATTAGTGAGAGGTAAAAAAACAAAAATAGGCTTAGTTTAACTTGCTATAGTTGCTATTGCTAGTACAGTACACAGGGCAGGTGCGTGAGATTGCGAGAACAGACGTTCACTGGAATCCACGGCTCACGCGGCTCCGATCCCTCCGATCCTCTGCACCGAGCGCCGCTCGGCTCGGCGCCGATGTAGGATCGTAGATCGTAGCCGGGTGTCCCTGTGAGCCCTGTGAGTCCACAACCGTTCCTGTCTGGGAAACAAAACCTTCGTACTGTGATTCACCAAAATTTGTCCGGTGTTAATTTTGATGAGAAAAGATTGTCAAACTTCTCAGCAATGTTATGAACAGAAGTCTTGCTCGCTGACTCTTGCATTAATCTAACAAGAATTTTGCTTTAAAGCTCTAAATGTACAGAGGAGGAAAAAGGAGTCTGGACTGTCAAATGTCAGCAAATATCTGTACAAATATTTACCCCGTGATATCGTAGATTGAAAGACATGGAGCCCTTTTACGCTGTGGTAAACACCCTTGCCAATATTTACTTTTTTTGCCTTTAACATTATTGTTTAAATAAATACTGAACTAAACTCGTGTAACAAGGTTAACCTTACTTTGGCCGCATGAAATTGTTGTGATTCCTTTCTGTAAAAAATATTTCTGGCCTCACATAATTTGTATTTTAATTTAACTATTTTGTAAATATTTGGTGCTAACCTCAGTGCCTTTTGTCTTTTTACTTTCTTGTTCCAGGAGACCTTTTTTGCCTTTCTGAATATTGTCATGGAACGGAAAGAGGCATCTTGATGAAGGACTTCAAATGTGTTCGCTGGCTTCCAGCTTTTGAGGATGCAGTAAATTTTTCAGCCTATAACTGCACCTTTGTCCATCACCAATGGGAAACTGCTTGTCTTGTTTTAAAGCGCCCGCTGCTACTCCACAGACATCTGATAGTATGTCTTCAACAAAAGACAAAGACGGTGAGTATTTGAGTTTGTTGATATGTCTTCTATGTTGTTCCGTTGAATTCTCATTAGGCTCAGTGTAAAATGTATTTCTATTTTTTTTATTACAATTCATTTTGTTTCATATTACTGCAGATGTTCAAAGGCCAGAGGAAGTTCAAAGACTTACGCCTCTCAGCACTGTAGACACACAGCTCAATGGTAACAGTAAACCTGTCGCTGAAAAGCCCTCTCGAACACTTTGCTCGTTGTTACCTGGTTCACTAGGACGGGAAAAGGATGTATCGGAAGTCAAAATTAATAACCTGTTTGAAGCTTACAAGGAGCCCAATAGGGATGTCATACTTGCTGATGGCATTGAAAAACTTTGTTCTGATTTAGACCTGTCACCAGATGAATTTAAAGTTTTGATTCTAGCATGGAGATTGAATGCAGAGCAAATGTGTCAGTTTACTAGAGTAGAGTTTGTTTCGGGTTGTAAAGAAATGCATGTTGATTCGATCAAAGGCATTCAGCAACGTCTGCCTGACATAGCCGCAGAAGTTAATAAGGATCCTGAACTATTCAAAGATTTGTATAGATTTACTTTTCGATTTGGTTTAGATGTTAGTCGCGGTCAAAGAATTCTTCCATCCGATATGGCTATCTGTCTCTGGAAACTTGTTTTCACTGGGAAGGAGCCACTTATTTTAGTACGATGGTTGAATTTTCTTGAATCGCATCCTCATGTGCGTGGCATTCCAAGGGACACATGGAACATGTTTCTTAATTTTGCTGAAACAGTGGGTGATGACTTAAGTAGTTATGATGACACAGAAGCATGGCCTAGTTTGTTTGATGATTTTGTTGAATATGAAAATGATGCTGCAAATCAAAATGTGTCTAAGGATAGGATTGATAACATTATAATCAAAGAAAGAAGTTGATAAACATAAAATGACATTTATATCTCCTACAATCGGACTTAAAAATTGACATTAATACCCCCCTCAATTCTCTCTCTCTCTCCCTCTCTCTCTCCCACTCACTCTCCCTCTCTCTCTCCCTCTCTCTCTCCCTCCCCCTCTCTCTCCCTCTCTCTCTCAGATATGCTGACTCCTGAAAACCAAAGTGGCTTTTCAGCTATGATATTGTTCAGATATCAGCAGATGCTGTTTCACAATTAAGAATTTGTAGCACTAGTTAAGTTCTATGGCTATTTTGTTACATGTATGTATTTCATGCTGTTGTCAAAGTTTCCTCTTTTTTATCATTAAAATGCTTTCTATGCATTTCTGTTATGGTGGTTTATCTGCCAATTCTTTTGACTGAATAAACATTTTACTGTATTTAAGATATGATTTAGAATGTGTGGCTAGGTAGGTAAAGTATTGAAAGTACTTAAGACTTAAAAATTTGTTTGTATAAGAAATTTGTGTATTGAGAAAGTCAGTGGTGAAAACTTTGTCTTAGGTAGTAACACTTTTAACCCAAGCAACTTCCTTGAATTGTTTGTGATGAGGCCATGGACGAGACCAGATGAGACTGAGGTGGTATTCTATTCTTTTAACCATTAACTCAGTGATCGTTTTATTTTTTTCTCTCCTCTTCTCCAGGATACAGTTTCATTAGGACCTCCTGAAGCTGCTACAAAATCATGCATTTTAATAATTTCATCTACTGGATGTGCTGCTTAAACCTTTTCACTTAGCATTTGACTGTAAGCCAAATGATTCTTACCAGTGTCAATTTAGTGCAAGGCGGCTGAATCTTTTCTTTTTTTTTTTTTTTTTTCAAAAATACTTCTTATTTCTTATTATTTTAATCTGATTGATTTTGTATGCTCTATTGTAAAATTTAGCATATTTGCAAACCATCTTTGAGTCTTCTCTGTGCCCCCATTCCACCCCATTTACTTGTTTCATCTAGAGTTGATACAAGAAAAATCAATCTTCTCAATTTATGGACATTTTTTTAAATCCAAATCTTTACCAACTGCTTATATTTTTTATGTGTCAGAAAGTACCAGGACAAACCACGAGGCTTGTTTTGATACATGATTTGAATGTCTTTCTGCTTTGTCTTTGTCAAAACTAGAGTTCCACATGGACTCTGGTAACAACATGTGTTTTAAGAACTTGAGTCATTTATATTTCATTTATGAATTTGTTATATTTTTTATGTGCCTATGATTGTGTCATTATCAAAGACTGAAGACGTATGAATGTGAACTGCACCAGTTGTCTTGCAATATTATGTGTTTTAAATGACTTGTCATTTTTATGATATAGTTAAGATCCACAAGTTTTTGAGGTTGATAATTTAGTTACATTTTCTAATCTAAACTTTAACAATTTCACAGTCACAATTTTGTAAGAAATGTTCAATCAAGCATAAAATTTGAACTTTTCCTGGCCTTTTTAATCTGCTTACGTTTTCCCCTGCAACTTGTATTGTTTCAATTTTTATTTGTCAATACAATTTTTGTGTTTGGCAGTTTTATGACGTTGCTACCAGAACCTATAAATGTGCTGAGATAACTGCCATTTTGAATGTCAAGTATGCTTGTCATATATCAAGATTACTTAGTTTGTGTGTAAGAACATTTAAAGTAATGCAAACAGTTCTACCTAAATTTATTTTTAAGTATCAAGATTGGTGGAGTTGGTGTTCTACATCTACAGTTTTATTTAAGAAATAAATTTAGTCAATTAAAACCTTATATTATATTACATTTGTGTAATAGTTGTGATTTTCAGAGTAAGTAATTTGAGTTTATTACCTTGATGGTTTTACTATTATTGTGACCATTATGTTTGACATTAATTAACTTCAAGTTAATTGTAGGTACAGTAATACTGCACACTATGTCAAAATTTTGTTTGAGTGCTAGTGCTAACATATGTTAATTTTTTATCCTGGTTTCTGTTTTGATTCCAAACCATACATGATCGGGAACTAATTACTGTTGTCCATTGCAGAATATTAAGATTTGAAGTTTTCAACCGTTCAATGTGTGCATAGTCCTTTTTTTATATTTATTTTTTATTTTTATTGATTTCAACACGAGTTGGAGAGCATGCCCTGTTTGGACCTCCAGGATTTTTACATTTTAAGGTGACTGTTTTACAGCTAGAAATATTAATTGAAAGAAAAGAAAGATAACATGTGAAAAAATCTAATCATGCAAATTTCGTATTACCATGCGGGTCTGATCAACTTGACTCAAGTTTGAATGTGGTTTTGGTCTGATGTTTTTGTTTTTATTAATCATGGTTGTTACCATGTTTTCATTGACAGAAAATCGATTGTGGGCCATCTCTTTGTCACCAAGGCCTAAAAGGTTGCCCTTGTATGACAAGAAGAGGCTGATCGGAGGATGCTCAAATTATCTCATACTTTCTGTAATGGAATGCATCCTCAGATCTATGCTTCACTGTTTTGATTGTGTGTGATAACTGTCTCATTTTGATTCAAAGGCTGTTAGATGTTTTTTTTTTTTTGTTTTTTTTTTAATTTACTGATCAAACATTTGATGTTTGTGTGTTTATTGTGCTTTAATAATGAACCAAGGATATACCTTGTCCATATTGTATTTTTATTTGTTTCCCATGTAGTTTGTATATTCATTGGTTGTGAGGTAAAGTACATATATCTATCTATCTGTCTCAAATCTATTATTCATTTACTTAAGAGCACAATTACTCTCCTCTAGTGATTACCTGAAAATCTGTTTTAAATAACAGTTTAAATTGTTGCCTTTTCATGCTGCACTATCATCACGAGATCTCAAGACGTGCCCAGGCCCGGGCCGGGCTTTCCCTTCCCAGACCCCAGACCCTCCTGGAAACGTGCTCAAAAGCTTTCTCGCTTCTACAAATCTTGCAAGTCCTTGATTCAGTATGCAGCCTGACTCAAAATAAAAACAAGAAATAGAGTTAAAGAAAAATAATTCTCCAGAAATTATCAGTATGATGAGACAGAAGCCAGTAGCGACAACATGTTAAATGTGCTTTAATTCTTATATGAATGCACTTAAAAGGTTACACATTTGAGATGCATAAAACTCACTGATGCTCATTTAATGTATCACCACTGTGTTGCCTTTAGTGTACATTTCCTACCCAGATTGAAGCGAACTAAATGCATTTAGTGCTACTGAAGATATTAAATGATTTCATGAAAATTGGGTTTTAACGTAAGAAACAGAGGGCACTTGTAGAATTAATTCAAGGAAGTTTAGTCAATTAGTAGATCTCTTACAAAAATAAACATTTATATCATCTGAAGAAAACAGATCACCCTATAATCCATTTACAGCAGCATACTTCACCAAAAAAAGCCATTTATATCTAAGAATCAAACATAGTTATAGGTCAACTGTGCCCAAGCAAAATACTGCAACACTTTTTTCCCAGCACTAAAGAGTACTGATATAAACTGTTTCGGAAACCACAAAGTTATAAATTGTTATGCAATATATTAAAATATAGTTACTCAAATACACTTTTCAACTTCCAACTCATTGAGACCATTTTAACAAGAATTGTTTTCACTGCTCTTGGATGCAAGATCAGTTGACACATAAGAGTTTTTCTTTTTCACATTAAATGCAACAGAAATCAACTATTAAATTCAAAATAGTACGTACCAGCGCACAAAATTCAACAGCTTATTTACTACACACAACCATTAATTTAAAGTGTTAAAACACCACATAAACATTAACAATATCACACATTGTGTTAAAAAGCCGTAGGATTCTTTGCATTTATTTAACTTGCTCACAAAACGAAAACTACACACAACTAATTAAAATTCAGGAACAGTAAATACTGGAATGCCCCGCATAATAATTACTTAACTTACATTCTAAAATACAAAAGAAAAAAGAAATTCAGAAGAAAGGAACAACATGAAACAAAAATTAAATGAGCTTCACATCACCTTAAATGGGTTATGGCTTGGCTACTGAATTCATGTGATGTGATGTAACCTATCTATTGTGTTCCAATACTGCATTAAAAAATATTGATAACAAGCAAAAAAAAAAACTTAATCAGTCTCTCCTGGCTTTGTTAATAGAATTCCATCAGAATGAGCAAAAACAATACCCTTTTAGTTTTGATGTCATACAGTTTCAACTTGACCCCGTCTTCGTTGACCACTGTTTTTGCTGCCTTGTGAAGCCTGTCTAGTGAAAGATGTTTCCTCTGACTGTTCAGGAGGTGAACTAGATGAAGATGTTGAAGATCCAGTAGAAACAGACTCACTAACAGCAGCTGTCTGATATGACATATGGGATGGTGAATAACTAGTGGAATTTGGTACTAGGACGGAAGAAGAGGAAGGGACAGAAACTGTGTCTTTAAGCAGGGCTCCCTGCTCTTTTACCTAAGTTAAATGAAATTTAAGTTAAAACAAATATTTTCAATAGAGACAATAATACTAGAATTAAATGTAAGGAAAACTTACTTTTGCTATATCCTCTAGTGGTATCTCTTCACTTCTAGGGCGAAGAGGCTTCGGGGAAACTTCACGAGACCTACTTGATTCCCGGACCCGCGTCCTATCTGTAACAAATAAGAAAAGTAAGTAAGTAGAGAAGAAAATACGTCAAGCACACTTCATAATAAAGATAAGTACATATTTGTACCAGGTGATTTTGACGTATTGCTGGGAGATGGTGTGCTTTCTCTACGCAGTGCTGCAGCATGACCAGGCATCTTTTGAATATTATACAGCTGACGTTGTTCTCTTCCACCAGCTATCCTGACCCCACCCCCTTGAAAGAATGAGGGAAAAAAATGTTTAGAGGTAAAAAATAATCAAATTTTATATATTTTTATGCCTTTATACTACTTTTCCTTACTTAGAGCTGATTCTTGTCGACGAGCTGTTAGAAGATTGTAAGCTGAAGAAGGAACTGAGGGCTGGGATGCAGGGATATCCAAGAGACGAGCTATTTGAACCATTTTCTTTTGCCGTGCTTTTGATCGACCTTTTGTCAATCGTTGCTTTGCAGCCATACAACGAATGTGATCATCAAAGATAAATTTTGCGGCCAATAGAGGAACTCGCTTTGATGCTCCGGATGATAGGGGTTGGTGTATTGTGATATGTAAGCACCGTGAGTCATCTTTGTCACCAGTCACTTCAATATCCTGAAAGATAGAAATGTCTAGATGAATAATATTTCAGTAAAATGCTGTTATTTAATATTTTTTTGAGAATGAGAGAAACATACTTGAAGGAATCCGACCAGTTTTGCCACACCATATCCAAGGCGGCGTGTAGGCTCTACCAGGATCAGCTGAATAACATCTATCACAAGAAATCGATGCACTCTGGTCCCGTCCTTTGAAACAACTGTACATCCTATAAGATCACTGTTATCTAAGGGAAAATAAGTATTAAAGATAGATAATTAGAAGAGGTTACATCCAAGATAAAATGATGATACAGGTCTTATGACATCTTACTTAAGTTTAAAACATGGTCAACTTGTACACATGCAGTGGTGTCTGTAAGTGGTAATGCTCGTTCTTCTTCCATACCAAGTACTAGGGACAAGTCTCGAATCATTAGAAATACTCGGATGGCTCTTCGAGCTCTTTCAACCTTAAAACAGCAGAAAAAAAATTAGATATCTGACACAAATTATTTTAATCTGTAACATAACAAGTTATGGGGTTCTTACTTCTCCACAAGGTAACCGTTTTCCAAACTCAATTCCAGTTAAAGGTGTCCCAGTTGGGGGCAAAAGTACATTAGAATCCATAGTAAGCCACTCCACATTCAGGGGTTTCTTTTTCATCTCATGATACTCATCCTCAAACATGTCCAAAAATATTTCTTCACTCTACAGATAGAAGTTTGTACATAAATTGAAGAACTAACTGGCACCACAAGTAAGGTGCATGTGTACTGAATTATTTTAACTACCTTATAAAAATTTCTTAGAACAGAACTGCTCTCCTCTTTTGCACCTTCAATAGCTGCTAAATGGCAGTCCTGAAGAAAGCTTGAATTTGCATGTATCACAATTTGAGTTAGTAACCTGATTGTTAACTCAAGTGTTACCAGCCTAACTTTGGCATCTGAAAAATAGAGTTGTTCCACTTGAAGATGCAACCCCTAATCTTTCTTCAAGTTTGAAAAATAAAGCACCTACTTGGTTGACAGCTCAAGGTAATTACTGAAACAAGCCGTTCTACTACTGGCACATTGTATCGATGTGATAAAGGTGAGCATGGTCCTTCAGGTCTTTGACAAGGGTAGAGCACTCCATGTAAAAGAGCTCCGCTGACGCCTTTTGTGCAGACCAGATAAGAATTGAGATAGACATGGAAAATTGACAATCACTTGTAAAATTTGTCTCAGTACAACCAGTACAGGAATATTACACACAATTCACAAACCTTTGTTTTTTCCAAAGGCATAAAGAAGACACAAGGCAAAAAGAGCAGCATAATCATTCTCTTGACAGTTCAATGCATTATAAACTGATTCTATGAAAGGTTGAGTGCTAAGTGGCTGTGCTAAAGGCACTGGACCTTCAGGGCTGAGCAGCATAGGCCCCTCACTGCTCAATGCCTGAACGTCACCACTAACAGTAGAGGGGCATGGAACAGCACCTGACTGACAAGCTGTAAAGAGGTTCAGAACAAAAATTCAGTGTCTGGCAAAATTAAGAATGATAAAGGTTTTCAACATATGGAATCCATACCAAGAACTTTGAGCATGTGTTTTTCCTCGTCTGTTATGTTTAAATTCATATCTTCACTATCATTTTTAGCTTTTCCCTCAGAACCTTGCTCTGTTGTATTGGTACTCTCCTCGATGGAAGCTGAAAAAATCATTATATAGAAATTGACAGGCTTCTAGAATTTAAATTATGAAAACTTCAAACAATATAAACCTACATTGCCTTGAGCGAGGTTCAGATATGCAAGGTGATGCTAGGTCAGCACTATCACCACTAATTGACCTTGATGACACATCCAAAGAGGTTTCTAAAGATATTTCCAACGATTCTGTAGGAGGCAAAAAGCCTGGCTGGATGACACTAGTTTTTCCCTGGTTTGATAAAAAAATGTAGGAATTGGTTGAGGTCTAATGAAAATAAAAGAGACTTGTCATGGGGGGAAGAACAAGAATACCTGTTGAAGAAGAACAATCTTGTCCTGTGTAGATGAGTTACTGAAGATTAGTCTATCAGCATGAAGTATAATTTTTGCCAATGTATCAACCAAAGGAGCATGAGTGAGAATTAAGAAGACTTGTGATAGTAGAAATAATGACACTACGCTGCTCACATAAGGAGAGGAGTTCTAAAAAGAAATTGAAAAGAAGTGTCTGTTATAATACAGATAGGCACAACACAACTAATAATAATAGGATAGAAACATTTAAAAACTAAGAATACCTTAGAGGCAGAAAGTTTCACCTTTTGTCGGTCCAAAGAAAATACATACAACGGAACTAGTAGTTTGTTCAGTAGGTGGTCTGTCAGCACATGGTTTAGGTCAGCTATGTCCAAACATAATATATCATTCAAATAATGGAGATGATCCAAATGTTCAGCAACAAGGTCGGCAAGACGATTTTTACTTTGGTGGCTGATAAAAAGGGAGAGATAAGAATCTGGTGATGGTCCATAATTGCAATTCAAGAAAAAACTACCTTCTTAAATACCTACTCAGCGTCATTGCGAACACATGCATCTAGTTCAAGTACATGGTTTCCAATAAACCATACAAGGTTTGAAAAATAAGGTGCAGCAGTGCGATCTCTTATAAACCTCAACATTGAACGATCTTCAACACGGTAAACATTTAAGGTGAGAGTCCTAACTGCAATTCTGACCATGCTTTCAGAATGATTGAAGAATTTTATTGCTTCTGTGTATAGAGGAAAATCGTTCGTATGCTAGAAAGGAACACAATGTATAAAAGAAATATGATTTAGGAAAAAAATAAAATAAGCGGTCATTATTGTCAAACTTCTACCTCATTGTAGAAAAAATGTATAGTATGTCCATTCAACTTCAATGAAAGAGTCTTCAGAAAGGAGATGTAATATGCCATGACTTCTTCATCAGAAAAATCAAACTTGTGAACAATAATTGAATTGACATGATTATTACTCAAAAGATAATCTGGAGGAGAAGATAAAGGGGAAGAGTCAGAGCCATAAATAATCAAGACTGATGAAATTGATTCATATAAATATTACAAAAGATTATACTTACAGAGAGAGGTCTCGTTCCGAATGTTTTCAAACAATATGTTAAGGGTCTGAAGAAGCTGGACACAAACATAACTCCCACATTTCTGCTTCATAATTTTTAAGAAGAATGATAACATATTCTTTTCCAGAAAGAAACTGCAAATTTATTGATTTGGGGTTGTAGAAAACATGATTTACGTTAACAAAATGAAAAAACTCAAATGGCATAGAACTTACTCAAAAACACTGCTATCATTTTGATCGCCCCAGATTAGAATTTCTGCTATGGAACGAAGTGTCTCAACTAAGAGGCCACGGTTGCTTTCAGACACAATTTGGTTTTTTGATAAAACATTGTAGAGATATCTGAAAGAATTTAAAAAAAAAGTAATTTACAATAAGAAGAGAAGAAACAATATTTTCCCCGGCTTACCACAGTTGTTGACAAGTCAACATCAAAATTAAGCTTTCCTTACAAAAAGAAAAGAGAATTTAGAAGCTTTTGTTGACATTTAGAGCCTAGACCTTGACCCTTTGAAAGTAAGCTATCTACATAACTGACAGTACTGATCAAAACGTATCACAGAAATAACTAGCTTGTTTATCAATTTAAAGGGATGAATATGCATTATCATTGTCAGAATAATTTACAGAAATATTTATTCTGATTTTATTTATAGAGGATGGCGGCTAACCTCTACTGACACTTATACTTCCAAATTTTACCTGAGTCACGAAACCAACATAATCACAAAAATTCGGAACTAAAAATTATTAAGCAAACTCAGAATAGTAATAAAGTCTACTTACTTTAGGTGTTCAAGAGAGTGAGGGTTCTTAGGCTTCCACAAACCACCTCCAAACCAACTTCGACTTCTAAACATTGTTTGTCAGACAAGAATCTAATATAAAATGATTAATTTTTTAATTGAAGCTGTGCAAAAGATACCAAAACATCCTTCACAGCAATCAAGTATACAATAGAAATAAATAAGGATCACTTTCTAAACAACCGTCTGCTATTCCCTTAACACCACAGCCGCCATCTTGTCGTTGTTTTTATTATTATTTTCTCAGGGGAGTTTGGAGGTATGTCATATGACGTCATATACGTCATGGACAGTCACGGCGGCAACAGCAGGCAACAGTTTAAACTCGATCGTAACTTTCAGAGCGGCTTGTCACGACTGTCACCGCCAAATTTGACATCGACGGTGCGTGTCATTTTAAGCTCCTGTTGATATCAAAATGAGCTTGAAGTCTCGTCTAAATGGCGTAATGATGAATACTGCCCCCCCCCCCCTTCGACCCACCCTAAAATAATATACTTGCTAACTTAAATTATCGCCCTCATTGTGGTGGAATCACATCATCCAGAAAGTGCGCCCGTCATATGCCGTTATGAAATGAAACTGCCCATCGGGAACTCGAGTTCAAACAATGCAAACTCACCGCGCCCAGATGGCAGGCAACATTTTGCCTGCCGTCCATGCGTGTACTGCGGGGTGGCCTACCCGGAGTCGACGGCTGTGTGTATTGTCATGTTATTGGCACCACTGGCTGTCAAAGGTTATCAATGGTCCTCCAGTACATTGAATAAAGCATGCCATAAAGACTGCAGTCTTCATGCAACTACACTTAAGTGTTAGTTGTAGCCGAAGACTAACGGCTACAACAAGTATGCCAGGAGTGGGAATGACCCTTGAACTTGAAGTACCCTGAAATTTCAAGTCTCTAGCACAACTCCTTCCTGTTATTGCACGGACGACGGACAGACGCACGAGAGCGGTTGCATGTATAAGCCCACCTCCCGAGCTTTTTCAAAGCAGACAACGGGCATGCTAAAGAGAGAAATTCTCGAGAATTGCGAAGCAGGCAAGCGGGTCACTGATAGAAAACGAGCGCAGTTTAGACAAAATGTTTCTTGGACATCATGAGAGTACAAGAAGGGGTCAGTTATTGTGGTTATTGTTGTTAATTCTACTGGTTTATGATCATCTCTAGTCAATATATTGTTAGTATACACATATTACCATGTGAAGAGATAAAAATATGAAACGTTTGAAAGAATAATTTGTTTATTTACTAAAACAGTGGTTTGGTAATTTACAAGATAATACAT